GGAGGAGGTGTGTCAGCAGGGGTGGGCTTTAAGATTTCAAACATCCACCATTCCAGTTTGTGCTCTTGGTTGCTGTCTCAACAAGTAAGCTCTCAGCTGTTGCTTCAGGGACATGCCTGCCTGCTGCCATGGTTGCTTCCTGCTAAGATGGTCATGAACTCACCCTCTGAAGCTGTAAGCCAGCCCCCAATTAAATGTTTTCTTTCATCAGTTGCCTTGGTCATGGTGTAGCGGTTTAAATGAAACCACGGAGGTTTTTATACCTAACACAGTCAGGTGGGCCAACAGGTGAAGACCTCATCGCCTGATCCTCAATGAAGGCCAGGGCAATGCGTGCTCAGGAAGCAGGGTTGATAAACAATCCTGACACAGCTCCCAGAAAGCTCAAATCAGAAGGACAAGAAAAAGTCACTAGTGGGGAAGAGCAGCTAGAGGCCAGGACTCCAAAAGGTCCCAACGTGAGGGAAGGGAAACACAGTTGGTAGGAATGTAAACTGGTACAGCCACTATGGAAATCAGTCTGGCGGTTCCCCTTAAAGTTAGGAATAGGTCTATCATATGATTCAACTATACCACTCTCAAGCAGATGCCCAAGTTGGACTGTAAATCCTACCTCAGGGATATTTGCTCATTCATGCTTTATTCACAATAGCCAGGAAATGAAAACACCTAGATGACTATCAAGCAATAATAATAATAATGGATAATGAAAATGTTATTCATGTACACGATGAATATTATTCAGCTATTAATAAAAAAATTTAAAACAGAAGATAAATGGGTGGAACTTGAAACACAATGCGGGATATAACTCAAATCTGGAAAGACCAATATCACATGTTTTGTCTTGTGTGGATGCTGGCTTTGAATTACAGATATGTGTGTTTCATTTGATAATCCTTAGCAGTCAAGAAACTAATAAGGGATTGGGGAATCTTTCAAGAGAAAGAATATAGTGATATAAAGGAGGAAAAGAATTAATGGCACAGGAAAGTTTATAGCGGGGGATGAGAGGGCAGGACAGAAAAAGGAGGATGGGGAGGTAAAAATTAACAGAAATGGGTTCCCTGACCATACATTATTAATTACAAGGTTGTATCTATAGGCCCAGGCAGATTTTATTGCTGCTTGGATTTCTTCAAAAATGTTTCTTACACTTTTTTTTCTCTTGGTTTCTCATGACTTTTGGAATTACAGGTCTTTTGAAAAAGTCAGAAAGAAACCTATTATAGAAGCTTTCTAAATTACATACATATATATATAAAGAGTTTAAATGGACTCATTCTATAATGAAGGGGGGGTATTGTGCCTACTAGATACAATAGGTTAGCAAATAAAAAGCCCAGTGCCATGTTGTGGGATATTTGTACACTGTGTGAATATGTATTGCTGTGATTGGTGTAAAAAAAATCTGAACCACCAATAGCTAGGCAGGAGAGCTAGGTGGGACTTCCGCGCAGGGAGAGGGGAAGTAGGAGAGGAATCCAGGCAGTGAAACAGTTGCCAGCCAGATGCAGAGGAGGCAGGATGTGCAGGAAGAGAGGTGAAAGTCATGAGCCATGTGACAACATATGGATTAACAGAAATGGGTTAATTTAAGTTATAAGAGCTATTTAGAAACAAACCCAAGCTTTCATAATTAATAAGAAATCTCTCGGTGTCATTATTTGGGAGCTGGCTGGTGGGACAGAGAAAGATTCCTTACAGTACCAGGAAGAGGTCATCTCTTTGAGTTATTGTCCAATGAGGTCTCAGATATCCTCAAACATTACAGAATATCACCATTGTGCTTGGTCACCCCGCTGACCCCCTGTTGCTGAAGACATTGCATACCTGAGTCATAGAACGTGAAGATATCAAGCTGGGACTGACCTGGAAGCCTCATCTCGACTGACTGGCTTTCAGAGTTCTGGAAGGTGCTATGGCTGCCAACCAGCGGAGAAAAAGAATCATTGTTCTTCCTCAGTTGTGAGCCCTATGAACTCCAATGACAACCTGCCTGGCAAGATAAGCCCACCGTTGCAAAAGTGACATGAATCTTGTCTCAGTAAGCAAACACTCTCTGATTGAATTTGAGGAAACCGAGCCTCAAGAATGACCCAGGGAGCTGGAGAGATGGCTCAGCGGTTAAGAGCACTGCCTGCTCTTCCAAAGGTCCTGAGTTCAATTCCCAGCAACCACATGGTGGCTCACAACCATCTGTAATGAGATCTGGTGCCCTCTTCTGGCCTGTAGACAGAATACTGAGAATACTGTATACAAAATAAATAAATAAATCTTAAAAAAAAAAAAGAATGACCCAATTACTATTATTGGGGCCAAAAACCTGGGCTAGATAGGTCCTAGACTCTAGCGGAGAACCTACCTCTATTCTGAGGAAGGGGCATAGATTTTAATCAACTCCTAATGACTTATCACTGGATATATAGATTGGTGCATCTTTCTCCTATTTATTCTCTCTGCCTGGAAGCCCCCCCCCCCAGTCTCTCTGCCTAGTTATTGGTCATTCAGTTCTTTATTAGATCAATCAGGTGTTTTAAACAGGCAAAGCAATACAACTTTAGAGAGTTGAACAAATGCAACATAAAAGAATGCAGCATATCTTTGCATCATTAAACAAATATTCCACTGCAGAAACAAATGCAATGCATCTTTAACTAATATTCTACAACAGAGACCCATCAGAAATGAAGGTATGAGTCACTCCTCCAGGAAAAGAGCCAAGAGCTGCTGAAGGGTTTGTTGAGGGTGAAGGACATACAGAATGGGTAGTAGAGGAAGGTAGCTATACATACCAGCTAAGGTCTGTGACCAGTTACAGAAAGGAGGATAATAATTGGCTTGAGTGCTTCTGTCTTGCTTTGTTAAGAATATGTTTGTAAAGATTTGTGTTTTCTTTTCTCAATTTCTTTATCATGTAATATAGCATCAGTTAAGAGAGTGTTGTGGTTATCATATTTAAGTTTTGAGATACCAAAAGAATGTCCCTCAAGGAACATTGTCAGCTATTCTAAAACTTATACTGCATTTGCAGTAGTATGCGGGAAAGTTTGTTCGGCTAGCTGGACCACAGTGAGGTTCAGCAGTCAACAAAAACATCTGGTATTTGGATCAACAGACTGTCATCCTTAACTTAACCAGTCTTGGTTACTCCACCAACATACAGAGCAAGGACACTAGACCCACAAGAAGGATCTGCATTCTTTTTCAACCTGAAAAAGTTACCGAACAAAAAGATTTCTGGGTACTTCTTCCCTTAAAAAGATTATATTCTTTACATTATGGAAGCTATATTTCTTGTGAAAAGAATGATACTAGCTAGGTAAGGAGTTAGATACAGGGTAACCTGTTTCAGGGAATCTGTAACTGTGTTTCAGGAGCTCTGTCTCCTGCTATTCAGAATGAGCCTGTAAAGTTAAACTTCTCTGAAGCCAGAGTTAGGCTGTTCCCACCATATCAGAGGCTAGAAGGCCAACGCACTCTCCCAGCTGCCCACACAGATGACTAATGAAGGAAGCCCTGTATCCTCAAAAGACCCTGACTTTATTTCATCACCAAATACACTGGAATTTTTATTCTCAGACTGTTGTGGACTTTTCTAGAGGATTGTGGGAAGAAATAATGTAGCAGCCAGACTCAGTACACCATGACTTGGAAGGGAAAATGCTTTCTTTATCCTATGACTATGACCCATCTCATAAATATTCATAAAAATTTCTTTAAATTCTGCAATGCAGAACCTATTAGGCTGTTATCCTAATCCATCTTTGGGACGCCAATATTTTCTTTGGAGTATGTGTTTTGTTTTGGTAAATAAACTTCTGCTTAACTATAGACTGAATTCTCCTTCCTTCTTTCCTTCCTTCCTCCCTCCTTCCCTCCCTCCCCTCTCTCCCTTCCTTTCTAGAAAACAAGAATGGAGACCCAGTAATTGAACTAATTTTCCACTCTCAAACAAGACTGACTATAGAACCACCTGACCCAACTCCTTTTTAATTTTCTAAAATAGATTCCCAAGTTTTATCCATAATTTTATGTTTTTCTTTTCTCCTTTGCTATACCATGCTAAATTAACTTTTTGTTACGTAGCTTCTAAACATGTTCTTATTAAACGGGCAGCCAGGAAAAAAGTCACATTAATATTTATGTAGGTTTTCTATTATTCGCTCTCTGGTCCATCCGCGAGATTCAATACTTGCTAGCACTGGGAGATATTAGATGTGAGAAAAGAGACTAGGTTAAGAGTGCATCATATCTTGAACTTGACGTAAAATTATTCATTCCATACCTCCATCCAAAATGTCAAAGAGAAAAAAGGCAACAAAGTGTTTCCGGTCACCAACCGTCTGGCCCGAAACAAAGACCACTGGGCTTTGCTTTCTTAAAGGTCTGAAAAAGGTTAACTGACTTTACTAGGTCTGTTTCCCACTGGTCCCCTTATGCCCACACGTTTGAGTCCCATTTTCCAAGAAATTAACCAACCAGCTCAGCCTAGCCTGGAGAGAGAAACCTGGACATGAATCACCACCCGGAGCCCTATAAGACCTAAATAGTAATGCTTTTAGTTTACAGGAACCCCTGTCTGGAAACCTGTGCACAACAAGGAAGCCACTTTGGGAGACTACTGCAAGAATTAACGACCTCTCAGAAATGTCACATAAGCTCTTGCATCTGCCACCCTTGCCAAGATGCTAAAGGAAAAAAAAAATCCTCCATTTTTCCATCTGCCCCGCTTGTTGCCAGGGGAGCTCTTTCCCTGTCAGTGTCCCCCAAGTTAAAGGGGGCAGCAGAATGAGATTTCGCGTGGACTCAAAACTCTATCAGGCCCTCGCCACCTCCTCCCCCATCTTCCGGAGCTGCAGGTGAGCGCCAAGCTCCAGGTCCTCGCCCGCTTTCCCGGCCACGCGGTCGGCGGCCTCGAGACCGGTGGGAACTACAACTCCCAGGATCCTTCGCGGGGCGGGAGGAAGGCGGGGAGCGTACAAAGCGGCGTTGGAAGCTAGCGGCAGCGAGGCCGCGCGCTTGGGGTCTAGCGGCTTGGCGTCCCCGCGGCCTGAGGCGTCATCTGCGTGGGCGCTCACGCAGGGCGGGTCGCGCGGCGCAGGGCGAGAGGGAAGTCGTGGCGGCGGCGTCGGGAACAGCAGCAGCGGCGGGAGCGTGGTGCTGACAAGCCGTGCGAGAAATGGGCGACCCAGGGCCGGAGGTGAGTGGCGGCGGCCCGGGCCTTGGCTCGGCCGAGCCCGACCCCGAAGGGTTTGTCTTCTAGGCCGAGGGCCTCAGCTGGGCCGCGGACTGGGGCGATTGCTGGGCCTCCAGGCCTGGTGCACATCTGCTTGGAGCCCTCAACAATGGCGGCCCGGCCGCCCCCAGCCCCTGGCCGCGCTAGCTGTAGCAGCCGCAGCCCTGAGGGTGAGAGACGATTAGAGGTGGGCTGCCCTTGTTTTCCAGCCTGCGTCCCTGAGCCTGGAGGTTTTGAGCCTGCAGCCCCGCTCTTGGAGAAGGCGGGGAGGGGGATTGTGGCAGCTCGCCTGGGAGGCTAGGTCTCTGCAGTTCCCAGACGCCTTAGCAAAACCCGCCTTCATGCAGTTCTGCGAGCCGGATTTGTGCGTGCTCGTGCTGTTCCCGCAGGGGCTTTTGTCTTAAACTCGTTCCTTTGGAAAAAAATTTCTGCCTATCGGTGTGTGACTGAATAGATAAGCGTGTTTTGGCTTTTGTTTATAGATAATAGAATCTGCCCCACCAGCTGGGCCTGAGGCATCTGAATCAACAACGGACGAAAATGAAGACGACATTCAGTTTGTTAGTGTAAGTAGAGCCCGTGAAAGCGTGTGGTAAGCCATTGTGTGCTTAAACCTCTACATTCATCACTCAGCAGATAGGCATGGGTGTCACCTGCTGCCACACAATGGTGCACAGGACATCTACCTGAAGAGCTACCTGGAGGCTTACCTGAAGGGATACCTGAACAATTTCAGTAGACTTCACAAAGTGGGTGGCCTAAAGAACTGTCATGCACGTAACGGGCCCCTTCCAGATCTTAAGTCTGTCCATTCTGTACTGTGGACATTTTCTGTTTTGATGTAGACACACAGGATGGGTGAATGCTGAGGAGGTAGGAAAGGGCTGTAAAGAGGGCAGCATCTCAGTGCGGTGTATCTTCTAAGACTGCTCGAGGAGGTCCCTAACTTCTGAGGTCATCTTGTTACAGCACTGTACAATTGTTGGTCACAATGAGGAGTCCTGCATCAGTCACCTGGAGCGTGGCTGTGGTTTTCTCACTTTATACCTTTGGAGACAGTAGTCTGCCAGCCTTGTGAACCGGCAGGTTCCTGGGTCCACTCCAGATCTGGTGAATCAGAAATTCAGGGTGGAGCCTAGGTATTGTCATTTTGGCCATTTGGATCTCCCTACACTTAATCGAGTGATGATTAAGGGGAAGATAAACAGCTTTGGGTGATTGCCACCTAGAGAGGTTAAATTTGTGTATTGACTATTCTTTTTTGGGTTTGTTTTTTTGTTGTTGTTGTTTTTGTTTTTCGAGACAGGGTTTCTCTGTAGCTTTGGTGCCTGTCCCAGAACTAGCTCTTGTAGACCAGGCTGGCCTCGAACTCCCAGAGATCCGGCTGCCTCTGCCTCCCGAGTGCTGGGATTAAAGGCATGCGCCACCACCGCCCGGCTGTTTTTTTTTTTGTTTGTTTGTTTGTTTGTTTTGTTTTTTTGTTTTTGTTTTTTTTTTTTTTTTTTGAGACAGGGTTTTTCTGTAGCTTTGGAGCCTGTCCTGGAACTAGCTCTTGCTGACCAGGTTGGCCTCGAACTCAACAGAGATTCACCTGCCTCTGCCTCCCAAATCCTGGGATTAAAGGCGTGCGCCACCACCGCCTGACTGTATTGACTATTCTTAAAGAACTAGTTAGCCAGAGAACATCCCTGCTCTTTACACTCCTGAAATGCTATAGATAGCTACAGCTTGTTATAAAATCTGTATAGTTCTTTATTGTTCTTGTGATACATATATGGAAGTTTTGGCTAACTGTAAAATAGTGACTATTAAAGAATATCCTACCTGACATTGAACCATTGTGGCAATCCATTGTGTATGGTGTTTTCATGGGGTTGTTGTGAGGGGAGCCCTCAGAGTTAATTTCTTGGCAGTTTTCCCATTGCACACTGCACTCTGTCCTTTTCATTTGAACTTCGAGGATCTGGAGTGAGGTTTGGGGATACATTGACTTGTTTCTTCCTAGTGGACTGAAGTATTTTGGAGAAAGGAGAATGTTGGTAATTAATCCTACCCCTCCAACATGTGTTTGATAAAGGCATTTGTGACTCGTTAAGACAGATATTTCATATTCTCGAAGGGTAACTCTTGATTATAAAATACGGCCTTCTGAGAAATTGATAGAGCATGTAAAGAGTAAGGTTCTAAAAGGAAATTGTAGCCAGGCTTACATCCCGGCCCTCACGGAGGCAGAGACAGGTGTATCTACAAAATGAGTTCCAGGATAGCCAAAGATAGAGAGACCCTGTCTTGTAAACTCGCCCCCCCAAAAAATGTAAATTGTTCATATCTTGTGAAATAAAATAGTTTCTAACTAGTTAATTAGGGTATTTATTGATCTGAATTTTAAAAGTAATATTTAAATTTTATTTTAAATGCACAGTTATTTCTATGTTTACATCAAGGATAAAGAATGTATAACATATAAAACTTGGTGTATGCTTGTAAGTGCTATCACTTAAATGATGATTAGCGATAGCTTAATTTTACTTGATCCATTTAGAACCCTAGAACTGGGGAGGCCACGCAGAGGATCTTGAATTGGAAGGCAGTCTGAGCTGCTTCCTTAGGAAGTTCTAGACCTGCTGTGTGCTGTATAGTGAAACCCTATCAAAAACAAAAAACAAACAAACAAACAAACAAAGAACACTGCTACTAACAGTACAAAAAGTATCCAGAAACAGAATCTTGTCTTTTTTTTAAGATTTATTAATTTATGTATACAGTATCCTGCCCCTGCAAGCCAGAAGAGGGCACCAGATCTCATTACAGAGAGGTTGTGAGCCACTATGTGGTAGCTGGGAATTGAACTCAGGACCTCTGGAAGAGCAGTGCTCTTAACTGTTAAATCATCTCTCCAGCCCCCAGAATCTTGTGTTCTTTGTAACACAGTTCTGTTTCTTTGGAAGTTCTTATCTAGTAAAGAAACCAGGTTTCTGTCTGAGTTTTTCAGTATAAACAACATAATGTAATGTCTTGATTTACTTGGTTTTGATTATTCGCTTGTAATTTATAGCGAAATTATGGTATGTGTTTCTGTGCGACTGTTAAAACTGCACAGGAGTAAACTGCCATCGGACAGGAGACTCTCTGTGATATGAAGGCTAAGACACACCGCATACTTAAAGAATCTAGATATGGAGATGCAAAAAGGAATCCTTTGTTTAACTTTTGTTGAAATATTTAGGGAAGTACGTGGTTCATAGGTGTCCTTGTTTGATATTTGCAATGGTGATAAATTTAAGATTTTAAAAAAGATGTATTTACTTAATGTGTGACTGTTTTGTCTGTATATATGTACACTTGCATACCTGGTGCCCACAGATCAGAAGAGGGCCTCTGATTTTCCGAGAACTAGAGTTGTGGATGGTTGTGAGCCACAATGTGGTTGCTGGAGCCCAGATGTGGCCCACATTACATGATTGTTGAGAATACAGTCTGGGTCTTCTGCAAGAGCAGCAAGTGCTTTTAAATGTTGAACCTTCTCTCCAGTTCTCTCGGTGTAATATATTTTTATAAGTAGTGCTTCTACTGGTAAGTTTTTATTGTCAGTTTGACATAAATCAGTCAAATAGGAAGAAGGAGCCTCAGTTGGGGATTGCATAGATTAGCTGGCCTGTGGGCATGTCTGTGGGGCATTTTCTGGATGGTTGATTAATGCAGGAAGACCCATCCTACTGAGTATTATGTCTCTAGGCAGGTGGTTATTTGCTGGATTAAGAAAGCATGAGCCAGAGAGAGAGCTCTTGAGTAAGGGTCAGTAAGAGCATTCCTTCTTGGTTCCTACTTTGAGGTCTGGCTCCCTCACAGCTGGGCTGTGACCTGGAAGTATAAGATGAACACCTTTCCTCCACAAGTTGATTTAGGTTCTGATGTTTATCACAGCAACAGGAAAGCCATTTAGGACAGTGCCTCAGTCAAGAAAGGATAACACTGATAAGAACTTTTTGTTTCTGCCTGTTAATTATGTCTTCTGTTTAGCAGTATGGCCCTTTGTTCAACTTGTATCTTTATGGTTTCTTTTGGAAAAGGACATCTTTCCTTAAATTTTTTTTTTTACTTCCAAAAAAAAATTAAGCTAAATAACTGCTAACAGAATTGTTCACAGTGCCACTTTATATATAAAGGCATACACACTGCTGGGAACCTATCATAATCTTCATAACAAGACAAGAGATTCAGAATTTCAAAGCATAATTTCATTGAGCACCCAGATTGAATATTAATAGTGCAGTAGAAAGGATGCATGCAGAAAGCATCATTAATAATAATATATTATTTAACTCTGTGTGTGTGTCTGTGTGTGTGTGAATGAGAAAGAGAGAGAAAGTAACTTTGCCATGTGTGCAGATGGAGACAGAAAAAGTGTGTCTGCACTCCTGGAGTTACGGGTGCTGTTGTGTGGCAGCATGGTTGCTGGGAACTGAACTCGGGTTCCCTGGCAGACCAGTATCAGCCTAACTCCTGAGCCATCTTTCTAGTTGACCAAAAGCATCTTTTGACTAGGTTTCTTATACTACTCATTAAGCAAAATAATATTGAGGCTTAGAAAAAAAGAAAAAGAAAGAAGAAAAAAGACACAAGGAGTCCAGGGAACAGGGAAATAGCTTAGTGAGTAAAAGCACTTGACCTAAATTTTTTCCTTGGAGCCTCTATCAAAAAATAATAACGAACAAATAGATGTGATGGCAAGTGATCCCGTGGTGACAGCCAACTAGAGTTGGAAAAATCTGTACAGCAGCAGAAACAAGAGGAACCCTGCCTCAGCCGAGTGGAAGGTGAGAACTGGAAGGTGTCCTCTGACTTGTGCATGCCTGTAGTAGCACATGTGTATGTATTCACACATGTACACACATACACAGATACCATACACGTACAGAAAAGGCATAAGACTTTATAGTATATTAGTTTGCTATAAATAATGGTTGGTTATTTGTGTGTGTGTGTGCGCGCACTAGTGGGGATTGACTTTAGGGCCTCCTACTTGCTAGTTGAGTGCTATGTCCCTAGATACTTGAATGTTTAAAATGGCATTTTGAATAAAAAAAAGAAAGGCATGAAAATGAAAGAACAGCCATATGTGTAGTTTTGTGTTTTAATGTTTTCTTTAGTTTTTAAGATAGGAGAAAGATGGCCCATATGATACAGATCTTGAATGAGGTACTATATTTGAACCAAAAAGTAGGTAGTTGGAAACCATTTGAAAGTTTTGAACTAGACAGAAGTAAGGTATAACCCTAACTTTTCTTTCTTTGAAGTAGAACAGTTGTGGATGATATTTTAATGTATTAGCATCTCTTTCCAAATAGAAAAATTGGTGGTTCTCATTTTGAGAATTGGTATTTAATTACAGTAATGCTTAAATAGTTTATTGCAATATATTTTAAAACTTAGAATAGTCTTGTATTTCTAATATGTTCTGCATGAGCCTCTCCTGCTAAATTGTAATGGCATTTTGAGTTGAATCCTTTATTTTGTTACTGGTACAAGAGGAGATAAGACTGATTTACTAATTAGTAGTATAAGTTCATATAAAATACCATTTAATTTAAGGACATAGGTAGTCATTATAAATATTACAGGAATAAGTATTATAGGAGGTAATCTTTTTCTTCATATTTGCATTGTGAACATTACTTCTTGAGGAATTAGTAACTTATTTGATTGGGCAACATTATGAAATATAATTCAGGCAGTGGTGATTTTTGTTTTGTTTTTTTACTGAAAGGGAACATGTTAACTTGGAAACTTAGGTAATAAGCAGCAATTTTTTAAAAATTTGATTTATACTTAAAAGTATCTCTCAGTTAATAGTGACTGCACAATCGTGTATGTCACTCAGTTTTATTATCTGTATAATAGGATGATTTCAGTAATCAGAATCTCTGTAAAGCAGTTATGGAAATTGGATGATATAATTTGGAAAACCTAGCACAGAGCCTGGTATGGGGCTAGATACATTTTCTCCATGAGGAGTATAATAAGTGGAGTACTACATGTTTTGGTTTCTCAGATTCAGTATGGCAAACAGTTTGTTTTTTTTTTTAAAGATTTATTATGTATACAATGTTCCTCCTGCATGTACACCTCTATGCCAGAAGAGGGCACAAGATCTCATTACAAATGGTTATGAGCCATCATGTGGTTGCTGGGAACTGAACTCAGGACCTCTGGAAGAGCAGTCAATGTGCTTAACCTCTGAGCCATCTCTCCAGCTCCAATGGCAAACAGTTTTAAGTAAAGATAAAAGGGAAGTTGATTTTGGTGAGTGCCTGAAATCCAAGCGGTGGAGAGATTGAGGGTAGCTATTGATACAAGCAACATACAGGGACTTCATGGTCAGCCTGGGGACTGTAAGGAGTGAGAGCCCATCTCAAGAGAAAACAAGCCAGTGTGGTAGTATATACTTGTAATCACAGCACTCAGGAGACTGAGGCAGGAGGATTACCTCTAATTTATTTTGTATCTGCAGTGCAAATTAGTTAGACGTGTGTTCTACTTACACAGAAGTATTTTTCTTTGGCATACTTACAATTTTCCTTTCAGTCGTTAATGTCTCCTGTATTTCTTTTCTCATTGCTGTCATCAAATACTTGACTGCAGCTTATGCAATGAAGGGCTTATTTTGGCTCACAGTCCACAGTAGGGAGGAAAACATGGTGGCAGGAATATAGAAGCAGCTGCTCATGTGTCCACAGGCAGGAAGCAGAAATTGTGCTCCCTCTTACCGGCCATGGGATGGTGCTGCTCAAGAGTAGGGAGGGTCTTCTCAGTCCTGTCAAGTACAGTCTTCAAGTTCTCCTTGTCTCATTCTATCCCTTGTAAGTTAGTAATCATTTGTTGCATAAGTGAATTTTCCCCCCCTCTTTTGTTTTCTCTTGTCCTGGGTATTTTTTATTATTTTGTCTTAATGACTAAATTGTATGAAATTATCTTTTATAGTTCAGCAACAGTTGCATATCAGTGAAATGATTGAGTAGTAAAGTTCTGCTAGTCTTGCAGTCTTGCTTTATCTGATCTTATTTTTGGCCATATGTATCTTTAACTACATTTTAAGAATTGTTCAATTTTGTATATTTGAGCCAACATTTTGCCTGGGCTGGTCTTGGGAACTTAATAACCTCCTTGCCTTTGCCTCTTGAATGCTGGGATTTTAGATATATGCTATCACACCTGACTTAAGTCTTTTTATTTTCCCTAGTACTGGGGATTGAACCTCAGGGCCTTGTGCATGTTAAGATCCCCACCACCAGGTTGCACCACCAATCCCTTGCATATTCTTTAGTCCTGGCCTTGAACTTATAGCATGTCCTGTATTACAGGCCTGTGCTACACATGCCCAGCTTATTTTCATTTTCTTGATAGATTTCTGTAATGTCCAGCTGGCTCTGGCCTGCAATTCCCTAAGCATTACAGCCTGGCTAGCTAGAACTTACCAGACTCTCGGTGCTGGGACTATAGGTGTATACTAAGACCAATTTCTCTTTTTTATTTATGGAAATTCTACCCATACCTCTGTGTTTGTGTTATTACCTGGAGACTTTCTCGATTGATTATATCTGTGTAGAGTATTAAGTTCCTAAAAGTCAGGTCTGATGACACAGCTCTGATGCCTGTGACCCCCGTACTAGGAGGCTGAGGAAGATTATGGATTTGAGGCCAGAATGGGCTGCATAAAAAAGTTCCAGGCCACCCAGGCTTCATAGACCCTATTTGTCAGAAATAAACCAGAAAGTGGAGTATAGTGTAACAAGTTCCTAAATAACATTGCTTGAATAATCCAGACTATGGTGATAATATCAATGGTCAAAGCAGATCCATTTTCATCTTTTTTACTGCCTTCTTGAATTTGAACATATGATCAATGATTGGACAATATCAGTACCAAGAGTAGACTTTAGTCTTAAAGTAGATGATACATCTCTGTTGACCATGTGATTATCCGCCCACCCCCATCTTAACAGCTTGAGCAAAAATTCCAGTTCCTTTATCACATTTCATGGTTTTAAAGTTTTGCTCACCAGTTTTATCTTGATGTCCAGATTACTATCCAGAAGGATGGTAATTTATGGTTTATTAAAACCTGAGAGAAAAAAACGATCTGGAGGGAGAGAATCTTGAGCTAGATGTTCTTACCTTCTGTCTACAGCAAGCAGCCTTCTTCCCTCTATGATCTCTTAAGATCAGTTGTGTTTTTTTCTTATGTCCCCCTTCCCTTTTATTTCAGTGTATTAGATTTTAAAATTTTGAGTCAAGTTCTCACTTCATAGCCCAGCCTGGCCCTTGAACTTCTACATTATCCCCCAGTGCTAACAAAATAGGCATATACCAGTCATACTGTAGATTTTAGAGGTTTTTGTTTGTTTGTTTTTATATTGCTCTCTTTGTCTTTTACGGTATGGTTTATGTGCTTACAAAGCTTTATTTAACATTTCTCTTTCAAAAGTCATAGTAGTTTTGGTGCTCAGTGTTTTGCCCATATTCTGCACTGATGACTTTATATTGGCTGTAATCATTTCGGTTTAGTTGAGAATTTAGTAGTTTTCTTGGGGTGGGGGGCGGGGAGCATCTTCCAAATCTCACTCCCAAAATGTTCATACACCTAAATTACAGACCTGCATGTTCAGTTGTTGGCCAGGCACCTTTGTATACATCTGCAATGCTGGCGTTGGTATATTTCTAGTCACTTGAACTACTTTGATTTCTTGATTTTGTTTTTTTGTTTGTTTGTTTGTTTGGTTGGTTGGTTAGTTTTGGTTCTTTGGATAAGATTTAATTTTCTCATCTATTTTTTTTTTCCATTGTGCTCAGGTTCTCTTAGGTGCACTTCACTCTTTTTATCATTACCTTTAAAAGTTATACATTATTGTGTGTCTGTACTAATAAGTTATCTTGTTTTCCCAGTTTTTGTATTCTTCGGTGGTGTTCCTATAATGTTATTCCCATTTTGATGTTACTTACTAATTCCTTTTTGCCTATTGAATCGAGAGCTGGACTTTTAGCCTAACATAAGAATAGGAAGAAGATTGGAGAAGAATCTGGGTTTAATGTTTTACTCTCTTAAGTTTAGGGAATGAAGCTAAGTTATTGGTCAAAGATCTCTGTGATCACAAATTTGGATATCTTACTGTTGGTACTCATCCTAGGTGAAACGCACTGGGTCGTGGTACCCTGTGGGTTTAGGGTTAACTTTTAGGTGTCCACCATTTCTTTTTAAAGATACTGTCTCACTTTGTAGGCCAGGCCATGGTCTAGAACTTGCTGTGATATAGTCCAGCTGGTCTTGAACATGTAGTCATCCTGCCTCAGTTTTAAACCGCTTAGTTCTGTAGGCATGTACCAGCATGCCTGGCTCATTCACCTTAAAAAAAAAACAAAACTCTGAATAGTTACTTTTGCTTATAATTTGTTTGTTTGGTTTTTTTTTTTTTTTCCTACTACTTGTATGTGTTCCTTCTCAGAACCAATCCCAACAAAGAACATTGTTTAAAATTCTGGTTTGGTTTAAATGATGTTCATGATAGGCATTTCTTCAATTCTGTTTATAGGAAGGACCATTAAGACCTGTTCTTGAATATATTGATCTGGTCAGCAGTGATGATGAAGAGCCTAGCACCTCTCATAGTGATGTAAGTACATTACATTTGATTTAAACTTTTTCACTTGTGTCAGTTAAGAGTTTTTTGTTTTTTCTGAAGAGTGAGGAAAACAATAATAACTGTGTTTAAGAGCATCAGTGCTCTAGAAAATGTTCATTTCTGTCAGGATGGACCAGCATAGTTAGTTCAAGGAGTCTTTCACTTCTTCAGTTCTTAAATTTGTAGGAAACTTAACACTGGAGAGAAATAACTGATAAAAAGGAAATTGTAATTAAAAACCACAAGCTTTTTGCTCACCTCCACCCCCTTCTTTCTTATAACTCTCTTCTGGTATGTATATAGCTGAATTCTTCACTTTTTGAACTATGTGGCCAGAGAAAATTTGTCTTGGGAGAAAGGAAGTGTGAAGCTCTTTCAGGAAATGGAATGTGGAGACTTAGAGCCGATAAATGATTCCAGTCTTCTCTCCTATTATCCTTTCCTCTCCCCATCCTTGGAACTGGTACATGTGACCTGCTACTTGTAGGGTTGACCTTTAAGCCGATGCCATACTCTAAGAGTTGAATTCCTTGAACCCTTCAGGCAATGTTGGCTTCCATTTGTTACTACTTAGCCCAAATTTCTGTTAATGAACTTTTCTTGATTAAGAGAATTCCTAGTTCTTGCTTGCTTGTGGTGACCAGAGCCTTCTTGTTTTATGACATAGGGACTTGAGACTTGGATCTGTGATCAGAATGGCTCAGTTTGAGATTTCTCTCACTTCATCTTAGCCCTTGCATTGTGTTGCTTTATTTTATTTTATTTTATTTTTGCAATTCAAATGAGAATTAGTTCTGCTTCACAGGATTGTCTTGGGGATGAAATGAAAAAGTAAATATATAAGTTCCTTAAAACTACAAAATATTAAGCAGAAATATACAACCAGAAGGTTATTCATGGGGAGTTAAGAAAAAAATCTTAAGGCAATTTAAAATGACCCCACTTGAGGGAATTAAAAATTTTTTTTCCATTTCAGTAGTACTCTATTCAAGTTTTTTCTCCGCCATCATCTTCCACTTGCTGTCTTTTATATACTGAACAGATGTTTTTTTCTTTTATTAGTTGTTATTACAAGTGTCCTTACCGCAGCATCTTATCTTAGCCTGAGATTAAGCAAGAGAGTAAAATAAGTACTACTTTGAACTGAATTTTTGTTTCGTGTGTGTGTGTGTGTGTGTGTGTGTGTGTGTGTGTGTACACGTTTGTATGGATGTGTGTGAATGTATGTGCAGGTGCAAGAACACACATGTGAAGGCCAGAGGCTAACATCAGGGTTCTTCTTCAGTTGCTTTCTACCTTACTTATTTTACTTTATTTTTGAGGAATTCTTAATGAACCTGGAGCTGGCTGGCTAACTATACTGTCTGACCAGTGCATTCGGGATTTGCTTGTGTCCATTTCCCCAGTGCTAGAATTACAGATGTCCAGTTGCATGCCTTGCTTTTATGTGGATACTAGGCATCTAAACTCAGGTTCTCATATTTGTGTGACAAGCACCTTACATTCTAAACCATCTCCCAACTCCAAAATGATTTTATTTTTATCATGATTTTTTTTTATGTTCAACATTAATGCTTATTGTTTTAATGGGGTCAAGGGTAATGAATCCTGTGCATTTGTCTTCTGTTTTCTTTTGCTGATCTATTGTTTCTGTCATTCTTATTTATAATAATATAAAATTTGAATTCTACTTACTGGACATGCATCTCTGCACTTGAAAGTTAACATATTAAAAGCATTTTTTTTTCTTCCTTGGTTTTCTTGTTCATGTGGATAACCCAGAGAATGCCTGAATCTAAGGTGCCACCCTCTGAGAATCATCGCCCAGAAATGTGCTCTAGCTGCAGTGTTCCTCTTCCCATTGGAGACAGCAGCTCCTCCTCTGGGAGTTGTGCCAACAGTCCACAAAGAATAGTTTCTCAACCTTCTTCTGTTGAGAATCAATTGGAGAACCAGAAAAATGATCAAAATAATTCAGATATTAATATCTCTGAAACAGAGACACTTAAATCACAAAACAGTCAGACTCTACCTTCATCATCACTACTGGTCCCCCAAGAGTCTTTGGCTTTTTCTGAGGTCAAAGAAGATTTACCTATCATGATGTCTTCAGCTTCACAGAATGGACAGGATGCCATCCTGTATCTCCAGACACAAGTGGCTGAGATGTCCAGAGTCATACGTGATCTGCAGTCCAGGAGTTGTTTTAGATTTCATCATTCTAGGTCAAGTGAGAACTCATCAGTTCCTTGGGATATGTCCACCTCTAAGGAGGACGGCTTATCTACAGTTGAAGAAGAGGCTGATTGCAAATCTCCATCAGCTGATGACAAAGGGCAGCCAACTGACCCCATGCAGTCTAGTTTCACGGGTCTTTTGAAGAGAATGGAACAAAGAGGTGTTATAAAGAGGGTGACATTACAGTCTGAAACCGAAACATGTGAGGGGAAGCCTGATTGGATGACCTCTAAAAAACGTTTGGTTCCTCCATTGCATCCACTTTTGAGAATTGCCACCACTGAAGTTTTTAAAGACCCTGCTGATTGCCATCCTTCTTCCTTCATGGGACATAGGGTATATCCTGTGGCCAAGGACACATCTCCTTTCCAACCAAATCCACCAGCTGAGGGACCCATTATAGATGTACTAGAACATAGCAAAAGAGGAAACACGACATCTCCTTTAGACTCTACCTCAAAAGAAATGGAGGTCATGGGTTGTAGGTTCTACCATGCTGCTTCCATTGCAGCCCGAGCTGCCAGCTATATGGCCTATATGACTCAGTATCAGCGTAAACTTTGGGAAGACATGGAAGATCTGGTTCATGATCCAGAGTTTGATCGTGGAAAAGCAAGGTGTATAATATCGGATGGCATGGATGCAGGACTTTGGCAGCTTTGTACCACCAGGGACATAATGGACTCTGTAGTCAGAGTTATGGCCATGGCAGTGGACTATAGAAGACAGGCCTGGCTTCGACTTACATCTCTCACTAAGAAAACCCAGGAGAAGATCTTACACTTGCCCTTTGATGGTACATCTCTTTTTGGACAAGATGTGAATGCTATTGTTGCAGAAGACAATAGTATTAAAGAAAATGAATATAAAGATCACAATAAATACTATACTCAGCATCGATACTTTTATAGTCACGATCAGAAAGCACATTATCACAACAGAGGGTACTCCAAAGGGGATTGGTACAAACCCCGGAATCACCCTTATAGATATAGAAAAAAGGGAGACTCTCCAGAGCGACATGGGTATAAAAATTAATACTCTGGATGTTTAGCAGATTAGCCTTCCAAGATCCTACTTTACCTGTTTTTCCTCAAGTTGGGGTCATCTCAGAAAATGAGTGCATGTCTGGAATAATCACAGCTGATGTCTGAGTTCTAGACCTTTGGAATGAAGTTTATAATAAAAAGACTTAAGCTTTGTTGGCCAAATGGAGACTTTGCTCTAAGGAGTATTGGACAGGGGTTTACCCATTATTTTTATTCCAAAATAAGTCCAGAGAAGGGTACTCAGGAATCTGAATCTTCTGGAATTAAAAGAAAATGTGTAGATTCATGCCTCAGGAAAATCTTGTTGGTAAACTGAGGACTAGCAGATTTTGGATCTGGAAACAATTTGCTACTAGATCAGTGTTTACTAAGACTGAAGTGCAAAACCTTCATTTTTAGATCACCAGTGCTTCTGGAACTTCAGGCTTCAGCTTGATGGGTCATCAAAAAGTGGTAGATGTGTTACAGTCCCTCTGTTAAGATTATCAGCTCACCATAGTTCATACAGTTATCAGTCATGAAGCTATATGTCTGCTGGAATTCCTTAAAATTTTTGCCAAATCCAGTTTACTTCTAACTGGGATGATTAAATGTGACAGGTCTACTTTTGGACTCAAAGTGGAAAAAATATTTTCCTACCTGTAACATGACTGTAGAAAAGTTAAACTCTTCATCCTGACTGAAGGCTCCCACACCATCACTGCTCATAACGCTGCATGTGGGATAGCTTTCATTGCCATCAATCCTTGTAGTCTTTGACTTACCACCTGTGAGACTCGGGCGTGAAAGTGGGCCTTCCAGTGAGACGGCCTTCTTAAACCTGTTTTCTAAGCAGTTGCTTCTTTTGAGGTTGATAGTGCATTACATTCTCAGTACAATAGACAAATGCATCGCCATGGCCCTGGAAATACAGATTATTCCCATCATCCAGGCATGCAAATCTGAACTCTTTAAGAGCAAGAATTCCAAACATGCCTGACAATCTGGTCTCTTGAAGTAAAGAGGGATGACATTAGTCTAGACTTCCTTGAGAAATCCCCGATACGTAAAGTGTGATTGGGTGTTTTCAAGATACACAGCTGTTTCTGAATATAGATGATAATACTTCTTATTGAATTCTTGAAAGGTTGGAATCAACACTTAAGTGATGTGTTCTTGGTTGACTTAATTTGTCGTGTAATCCAACTGGACTAACTCTAAGAGATGATTTACATTTTGCTCCCAATAATAACGCTCCACCTTTCTGGAGCTGGCAGCAGATACCTCAGTTATGTTAGTGTCCCACGGTATCATTCTAATCTCAAGGCAATGGCTGTATAATATACTAGCCCCTATGTCCTTGTCTTCACAGCATGACTTTTAAAGTAGAAAGTGTCAAGTTTGAGGAGGTTTGAACACTTCACCTAATGTAACTTGGCAGCCAAAAAATAATTTTTTCACAAATGTAATTATGTAACGTCTTGGATGTTCAAACACCTGCTTTTTCTTTATTTTTAATCTGCTTGATCAAAATGTTTTAAATATACTATTAGTGGAATATAGCACTGTCTTAGGGGTTTGTGTGATTTCTGTTTCTTACCATGATTCTTACATCATAGTGGTTGACATTTTCTGTGATGCTAACCTCTTTGTAAGTCATTAGACAATGCCTTCCTCCTATCATACCCATAGCCAGCACTCTGCTTAATCTACATTTCTTTGTCTTACTACATAGAACTTGATATGTAGACCAGGCTGGCCTTGGACCCATAGCTATCAGCTTAGCTCTGCCTCCAAATAAAGGCCCGGCTGGCACTTCTCATTTGTGCATCTAGATTGAAGGCATGGATTTCACAGCTTGGATGAAGTTACTTTGTCAGATCATTTTAGGGTACTGTATTGGACCTATTTGTTTTCTTTGTAGATTAAACCTGAACTAGTTATCAAGCATTTAGCAAATTTAACCAAATTGTATCTAGGGTTAATATTTAACTTACTTTTCTGTATTATTAACAACATTTTACTTTGACTTCCTTAGGTTCGTTCCAGGGCTCTCTAAAGTGTCTCTCAGATGAGCTCCAGAAAAAAACAGACTTTTGTAGCTCACAGCGAATTCTATACAAAGGCGTAGACTCAAGCCCCTACCCATGGCAGTGCAGTTTCTTCTGAGAAAGGAGTAGCCACTCAGACGGCATTGGGGAAAAAGGGTGCATGCAACTTTGTGCAGTGTTTCTGACTAGTTCGGGTTACTGCAGATGTTCCTCCTTTTCCATCTTGCCCTGAATTAGATGCTACATAGCACATATGATTTGAGAAACTCCTGTTGTTCAAAAATGAAACAAAAATAAATAATGCTTGAAGACGTGTTCTTGGAAACTTTTGGCATTCCCACCTAATTTATTTGTACCGATTATTGCTTTAAATCATAGTAGACAACAACATAAGAAGCACATGAAATTTAGCACTTTAATAATTTTCACAATATTATACACTGTTAAATATGTTCAGGACAGCCCTACTATCATCTTAGATGTTTAAGCTATTTCTTAATGAAGTACATTGCTTGACTACTAATTGTTAAGTCCAAGCAACTCCAAAGGACTCAATTTTCCTGAAAGTGAAGAGTGTCAGGAAATCACCAGATTAGTGATTAAACAGACAAACTAAAAAAGTATTTGGCCCTTGAGTCGTTTGTGAACAGAGTATGGTAGGTAGGGTGGGAGCTCTCTTAGCTGTAGCTACTTGACTCAGAAATATTCCAACATCTTTTACCTGTTTATCTTTCTTTTTTTTTAACTCTGGCAAACTTGAATGATTATGATGGTGTTATAAAAGTTGGTACTTGGTGTAGTGAGACAACCCCAGTAGACAGTACAGTAGAATATAGCATTTAGATTTAACCAGCTAAATATTTAGATTGTGTCTGCAGAGCCTGCAGCAGAATTTCCTATTAGGTTGAGTGAGAATATCACTAGCTTTTTTAGATACCTTGGAGTACTTAAAAGTTTAATGATTTGATTTTCTCGAAAGGGATGTGTTTAGTGATCCTTTCCTTCAAAATGTCCTTTCTTGACTAGACGTAAGATGTATTTGAAGACAATATGTTTTTTTGTAGTTACTGTGTATAGAGAAATACTGTTTCCATTTATTGTTATATAAAGTGCCTTTTAAAATTTCATTCTTATGTTTAAGACCTAACCTTCGATGTGGTGTTCATGTGACTTCACAGTGATTTACCTAGTTTATTATCTTTATTATCTGTACAATTGCACTATTTTCATGTACTTCTGAATGCTAATTTGTTTTTTTATAGCACTGTTACTAATTTCAGAAGGTTATAGCATAAATCTCCCTCTTTATTTAATTAATGTCACAGAAGTTTGTTTTAGGTTTTAATGATTGGTTTCTAGACATAAAAGTAGCTCTTTTTTTCTTTGTATATTCTAGATTTTCTGATGTAGTCATTTATCTCACATCTAACCTTGCTCATCATAGCCATAGTAAAACAACTTATATTTGCTTAATGGATGTGTTTACTGGGATAAAAACAGCAAGGTCATTTTAAACAGTAAAGTTGATGGCACTATATATTTATATATAGTAGTCTGTGGCAGCTTCCTTGTCAGTATAATTGTTTGTTTTTTTTTTCCTTTTTAAACTGGCAGCTTCTTTATTAGTATAACTGCATTTATTAGCCTTCAAAATGCTATTTTTGAGGGCAGCATATATTCTTTCAGGCTACTTTACTGCATTATACCTAAGTGACCTGATTGATAGCATCCTTAAGGGCCTGACACATCCAGGATATATACCTCTCAGGTGTTGTAAGCAAGGAGGTTGAAAAGACAAAGTCCAGAATTCCCTCTCACTGTAGAATTGGATACTGATAAGGGTAACAGAAAGGTTAGCCACACTCATCATTCTTGAAGTTCTAGTTCATTGGGATTCTGCTGAAGGTTTAGGATTATGTGTTAGATCCTTTTAGGAGTAGAAGACTGCAATAACAATTTTTGTTCTTCAATGTGAGGCATATTTTGCCCCAGTTTTGCACTGTCTAGTTCCCCTTTTTTTGAAATTTACCCATATGTACTTAATGTTGATGGCTAGACCAATAACTAATTGTTACTGTGGATACATCTTATGCATGTCATTCGGTTAGTCAGGTTGATTCTGTGTGGTTTTTAGTGGACATACAAACTAGACAGTTTTTTTTTCACTTAAAACTTAAAGAAGTTATCAGTAAGTGAGTGTTGTTTACTGTATTGAATGCGGATTTTCTTCATAATTAGCAAGTTTCATAAACCATTAAAATCTATGGAGTTTCCTTTCCTGGATGATTGAGAATGGTGTTTTATTAAATTCTTTTTCTCTTACTAGTGTAGTCCCATTTTTGTACTCCTGTGTCATTTTTTATTTGACTTTATTATAATGCACTTTTGTATTACTTAAGATCTTACTACTGGAGTTTGTGTTCACTTCCTGTAGGATGTAGAGGTGGTCCCAGTTCAGTTGTGTCTTGAGAGGGGCTTTAAGTAGCTCCTCAGGCTGCCCCATACATATTTTCCTGCTTTCATCTCCTGGGGGCAGGGACTTCAGGGGAATGGCACCATGCTGGGCTTTTAGTCCTGCCAGTCTTGCTAAGGGTTTTGATACTGATCTGTCTTTACCCAGAATCTCTTCCCAAGGAAGTCTGATTTTTCCCTTAATCTCTTTGATATTGAGATTTTGTATACTTAGCATAAATGTGTATGCATGATATACGTGTATGTATGGTGTGTGTGTGTGTGTGTGTGTGTGTGTGTAGCACACGGAGGCCAGAGGTTGATGTCAGGTGTCTTCCTTATTTACTTTTCATTTGTTTGTTTGTTTGTTTGAGATAGGGTCTTTTATTGAACTATGAGATCACAGGGTTAGCCAACCCAAGACTAGCTAGACAGTGAGGTCCAGGAATTCTCCATCCCACCCCCACCTCATACTATATATATTACACATGCATGCTAATGTGCTCAGCATTTTACATGGGTACTTGAGTCCTTGTACTTATGTGGCAAGCACTTTATCTATTTTGAATCCTTTCCCCACCCACCAAAGGAAAACTTTGCTCAAGTTTTCCTTCCGTCTCTCCCCCATCGCTTCTCTTCCCTCTCTTTTCCTCCCCAACCACCTCTCAATCCTATTTCATGTTCCTAAGTGCTGGAATTAGAAAGTGTGAGCCATTTTGTTCTACTAGCCAAGATTTTGATGTTAATTTGTATATTTAAATGTCATTTAATTTGTATGTTTAATAGTCAAAAGCATTTGTGATAAGAATGTATTTAGTTTTTTTTTAAATCTTTAAAAAAAAAATACAGGGGCCGAGAATATAGTTCAGTGAGAACAGTACTTGCCTAATGGGCAGAATGCCCTGGGATCAAATCCCAGTACTGCATCAACTAGTAATGGTATGCCTAAACCCAGCACTTAGGATGTAGGGGCAGGAGGATCAGAAGTTCAACATCTTTAGCTACTCTTTGAGTTTGTGGCCCTCACGGTCTACATGAGACACTGTCTCAAAAAGAAAGAAAAAGAATTTCATAGCCAGTCCAGTCTCAGTTCTTCCTGACTCTTGAACTTTCATTGTTTTTTTTTGGGGGGGGGATTTGTAATGTCTCATTTCATGGCATTTTCTTAGTTCAGATGTTTATATTTAATTGGTGGTGTTGTTGCTGTTGGTTTTGTCTTAGATACAGTGTCTCTATAGTTCAGGTTGGCTCTGACTCCAAGACAATTTCACCTCACTTTCCCAAGAACTGGGATTCCAGAAGTGAGCCATTGTATGTTCTTCACAGATCATTCTGTATATATTGTTAATGGTTAAATTTATTATCATAAAATTCATTTATAGTATAGCTCTGATATGTTTAAAGTCAACCAATCTTTGGGTTTTAAGGGCTTTACTAGTTTTTTTTGAGGGAGTTATTGCAGATGGTTTATTGGATTTTTCGAGGTTAGAGTTCTCAGGTTTCTTTTACAACTTGGAAGACCTTAGATTTTGTTTTTGAGTATTATAGTGTGTTTAGTATTCTTGCCTCTTCTCTTTTGTATAAGTGAAAGTAAATATATATTTGGTGATATTTTTTAAAAATTCAACTTTGACTGTAAATGCCTCAAGTATTGCTTTGTTAGAGGTTCTGTTCGTCCTTGTACAAGGCTAGCTTTCATGTGCTCCTTTTCCCCATGAACTTTATGCCATGTGTTTCGTTTTCTTTTCTGTAAGAGTGACTATTACAGCATTCCATTTGAAGGGACACAGAACTCCCATTTTTGTCTGTGATGGCTGAGTCACACTCCTAGGACTTATTTATAATGCAGTATATATGTTAAGTAACTTATTGTGCTATGGACCCTTTGTATCTTTTTTAGTTAGTGAGGCAACACTGACCTGAATAATGATGGAATGAAATTACCTCCAATTAAGACACAGGGTGTGTTGTTGTTGCTTGGTGTGTGTGGGAGGGAGGTGCTTTCATAGAGGGTCTTGTTGTATAGCCCAGGCTGGCTCAGGACTTGTTGCAACCCTCCTGCCTCAAGTGCTAGGATTCCAAGTCTTGTTTGAAAAACATTTCATTGCCAGCTAGGTGTGATGTCCCATACCTTTGATTCCCAGCATTATGGAGGCAGAGGCAGGCAGAAGATCCCTATCACTTCTAGGCCAGCCTGATCTATATGGCCAATGGTAGGCCAGCCAAGGCTACATAGTGAAACCCTGTTTCAAGAAAAAATTAAAAAAACAATAACAAGTCCTATTTCTTTGTGGAAATTTTCCTGTTTGGAATGCAGCCCATTCCATAATATCTTAAATAAAATATATTTAATATGTAATAACCTCATTTAGATTCTTAGCACAGAATTGTGCATGTATTTATATTTCTTTAATGACCTGTAATAGCTCTGTGTATTGTGAATGCTTAGACTACCTTGATCTTGGTTGCAGTGGATTTGTCGGTTTCCTGTCTGGAAGAAAGGCAAGGACAGAACGTGTGTGCTGTATGTACTAAGCATTCCTAGCTACCTTCATCTCTGTGCAGATGTGTTCCAGTGGTGTGCCTCCACTTTGATGCAGACTCCCTCGGGTCACATCTTTTAGGGACAAATCTTTTTCTGTTTATGGCTATCCATGTCGTCTTGTTAATACTTGGTACTGAGTTTTAGTTATCCCACCTTTGAGATGAGGAATAACCTTCACTCTTCTGTCGAGGTTCTGTGCTATGGCTGTTGTCACAGTGCTCACAGCTTCTGCTCCACTACTCAGACTCAGTTCACTCATGGCACTGATTAGTCATAATTTTTATCTCTTACTTTTTTGTTCCATTTTTGTGTAGTGAAACAAAGGTGGAATGGTGTTTGAATTTTAAAACACTAAAGGCTTTGACCTCAGTATTAGCAAGTCACTTATTGTCTCAGCCTCTGTTTCCCTACTTTAAGGTACTAACTGGGTGTAGTGGCACACGCCATTACATGCCAGCACTGGGAGGCAGAGACAGGCTAATCTACATAGTGAGTTCCAGGACAGCCAGGCCTACATGGACCCTGCCTCCAGACAAATAAATACTTTGAAAAACACTAAAGCCTAATGCAGATTTAATTTTATAACTAATTTTGTTATTCTGCATTCTTAGATTTCCTGTGAATGGGATGAATTGCATGCTTTTTACTTTTTTGAAAATTTCATACTTGTGTACCATGTATCTTCATCATGTTCGTCCCCACTCCCTCCTGGTTTCCTGGGCCTCCCTAAACAAATCTCCCCTCCAGCTTAGAAATCTCCCTCCCAGCTTAGCTCTTTTAAAATTTCCCACAGCTTTATTTAGTGCTGCCCATGTGTACATGGGTGTGGGGTCATCCACTGGGCATGGGCAGCTGTCAGTCACACCTCAGTATCCACTGTGTGTAGGCAAGGACCGAGAAAGGTATGGGTACACTGAGGTCTGGTTATGGAATACGTTCTCACATGGGACTCCATCCAGAACAGAAGCCGAGGAAGAGCCAGGCATTCTGATGCCCGTACACTGCAGTAACTTCTTTATTCACAGGAATACGTGTGGTGACGTTGTCATGAGAAAGGCCAGCTAGAGAGGTCAGAAAAGCCTTCCTACCAGCTGACTCAGCTGACTTTGGAGGGTGTTAGTGTAGTTGGTCTGCTGGAGAAGCAGCCTTTGATTTAGGAGGGAGAACTAAGACTGCCATGAGGTGTGTCTGGCTTCAGAACGGTAAGAACAGCCTTACAGATGTACAGAAATGAAGGAAATGAAACTGTGGAGAGGCTAAGTTATGCATGAAGATGTGTCGTTTCCTGTGACTCGGTGTATTGCTTGTGTGGCCGTTGCCTAAAGGTTATGGAAGTGTTCAGAAATTGTTTTATACTGTGTCTGCTATGCACGTCTAAAATAATTGAAGCTGAAGAAAGACCTCAACATTGCATTCCTTTCCTGGGGCAGTTTAAGCAGTGAGCGAGAACTGAGGACTGGTGGAGAGCACTGAAGACACAGAGTAGAATCCCTCCTGGCTAATGCTGCATAGGGTCCTTTAGCCAGTACCTTCTTCAGAGCAGCAGCTGTGGCCGATAGCTCTCAGTTTTGACTTAGGAACAGTTTCCGGGCAGACGTGGAGAAAATGAACATGTGTAAGAATGTTGTAGTTGGCACCTGCAGGTGATTTGTGCTCATGCATTTTGTGCTTGTGGTAATTCCAGTAGCCTCTGAACACTTTATCAACCTCTGCTTTTTTTCTTTGTTTTTTCTCCTTTTTATTTTTCTGATACAGGATCTCATGTAGCTCAGGCTGACCTTGAACTCACTGTATAGCTGAGGATGACTTAGAATTTTTGATCCCCCTGCCCTCACCTCTTGAGTGCTATGGTAACAGACATGGGTGACCATGCTTGGTTTATGTGGTGCTGAGGCTCAAACCCAGGGCCTTGTTGAATGTTAGGCAAGCACCTTATAGTTACATTCCAAGTTCTCTTTCTGTTTTGAGACAGGGTCTACTCTGTAGCCCAGGCTAACCTCAGATAGGCAGTGGTCCTTCTGCTTCAGCCTCCTGAGTGTGGGAATCACTGGCATGAGCCACTGTGTCTTGTCCTGCTCACTTTTCCTTCCCTCCTCTCTTTTTCTCTGCCTCCCCTCCCACCTCCTTCCTCCCCTTCGCTTTCTCTGTCAGAGGCATCACAGTGGCACTCAGGGTTAAAAGTAACTCTTTCTCACAATTTCACATAGTCTAAGATAGTTAGAAATCCTCCTTTAATTCCAAAGTTGTATAAACTCCTGCGCGCATGCACATACGTGTTTCCTGTGCTGAGGGTCTGTCATTAGAAAAATAAATATAGAAAGATACTAACAGCTTACTCAAAAGATATGACAGGTAGAATCTTATTTAACAGATTTGGTGGTACCAGCTTTCTTACTGGTAAAAAGTATAGAATGGGGTATATCTGCATGTTTGGATTTTGACTTTGTTTATATAAAGCAGATATTCTGTGAACTCTGTATTTGTGAACAATAAATTGGAGTGGGAAGGAGATGGCTTTGTAAAAAGGGTTTTTTGGTTTTAAAATTATCACTGGGGGTGATGAATATATATTGTACTGCATTGTGTTTATCTCCTGCTTTATCTGTATTTGTATATAAAATTCTTGAGAAAACTTGCTGCCTTTCAAACTTTTTTGGGATGAGACTTGAATCATAAATTGGGCAAAAGGGACTTCTGGTACCTAGAACTTTGGGATTACAGATTACAAACCAACCTTGGAAAACTGATGACAAAGGGCTTTAAATTTGGTAATGCGTTTGTTTCAGGAAGTCTTCCCGACCAAGTACTCTAGGCAGATGGTTAGTGTATACTGTTTTGCAGTTGGCCTCTGTTTTTAGCTTTTTGAACTTGGGGTCCTTTACATAGCAGTTAAGGGTAATGAAGCTAAATGAACTTTTGCCTTGGGTCGTTTTCTGTGCACGCCTTTTACTATTCAACCTCCTATAACCAACAGATTTTTATTGCATTTTTAGTATCTTTGCCAAAAACCAGAAAGTGCCTTTTGGTGAGTCAGGTTGGAAAATGGTTGCTGAGAGCTCTTCTTTGAGCCAGCTTTTGCAGAATGCTTTTTCTCTTATCTTCTGTTATCCTGTGAAATAGGTTGAGTAGTTATCTCATGTTACAGAATTAAATTAATTACAGAATTACTTTAACTGAAACATGGATATAGTTTATCCATGTTTCAGTTAAAATAATTTTATAGGAAATACAAAATTTAATATTGCTATTAAAATTACCTTTTTAGAGATGAGCAGTGATTCAAGAATGTCTTTTTTGTATTATTTAAGCCACTTATATACTACCTCAAGCTGTTATTCAGTGATTTTATTCATAAAACCCCATGATTTTCAACATTGTGTTTCTAGCACTTGTCAAAGCAGACTCACTTCTTTAACCTTACAGTTTTATTGAGTTAATCTTGGTAAAATATTTCTGAACAACTGATTTAGCTAGTGACAGCAATAAAGAAAAGGTTGGGAGTCAACATTTGGTGAAAGTTGTATGAGAAGTGAACTGAAAGAATTTGTGGGCTGAGTGCGGTGGTGTATACCTTAAGTCCCCCCCCCCCCAAAAAAAGCCATTCATGGTAGTTCACACTTATAATCCTAGTATTTGTAAAACTGAGGCAGGAGGATTGTTTGGCTTAAGTTTGAGGTCAACTTGGACCACACAAAATGAGACTGTCTCCAAAAATAGAGGGGGAGAGATGCCAGGAAAAAAATTCTAGGTAACATTTTAGCCCTACACTGGCCTCAGACCTGCTTTTGCCTCCCTACTGCTGAGATTATAGGCATGTTGCTGCCACGCCTGACAAGAGTTTTTTAATAAAACATTCAGTTTGTAATCCCAGCCTTCAAGAGGCCAGGCAGGGTGATTGCCATGACTTTGAGGGTTGTCTGGGCTATGTTGCAAGACAATGTATTGAAAAGGAAAAACCAAAAGGCTTACATTGTTCTCAGCACTCAGTGTTAAGGACAGTTCTTAATTACTAGGGGAGAGTTGGCAACCCTCTGGCACTCAGCTGACTAAACTATATAAGAATACCTTTCAGAATTGAGAATACAATGATCTGTGAAGCAAGTATTTGTAAGTGGATTTCAAAAGAAAGTTCATCTGTTAGTCATTTATGTAGGCATTCATTGAAGATTAGTTTGGGAGAAATTTAACTGCTAATAAGAATTTCTTTTGTGATGTAATCAGCTCCTTTTAAACACATTTGCGAAATGACCTACCTTTATAATTGAACAAGCTTTTATAATTGGGCAAATTTTCGGTTGCAGATAGAAGAAAGTGGATTCTAACTTAGATAAGGAAATACTTAAAAACTTTAGCTTTTACTTTGGTTAAGTATTGTTATTTAAAATGCAGTTAGTGCGTGGGCTTTGGATGTTTTCAGAAAGCACATGTGAGCTGGGTGTGGTGTTTCAGGGTTGCTGTCCCTCCACTTGGGAAGCTTGAAGAGGTGTATCATTGGGGCCCAAGAGTTGGAGATTTAACATGGGAACCAGTCTCTTTAAAAGCCAAAATATACTAGAAAGGCACATATATAAGTAAACAAAAACAATATTAAATGGTTTTAACCAAGTAGTCTTTTGCTTTAAAATGGCAATGGTACTTAATCTTAACAGGAGCCACTAAACCTTCTGTATATAAGTCACTTACCTTAGTTCTTAGTTTATTGAGATACCTACTGTATTGTCAGGTTGGTCTCCATGCATAATCTTAAGCACGCTTTTCCCCACTTCTCAAGTAGCAAGGACTGCAGGCTTATGCACCACTATACCTAGAATTAATCAATATGCTTCTGTTGGGCTTCGGGAAATTGTAATCCACTCATTTTATCTCTTGGGTATTTATTTCCAAGCAACAAAAGATTCAAAGTTTTACCGCATTCTGTCTTCATCTACTCTTGATCATCAATAGGTTTGTTAACAGTTTCATTGCCAGTACTGATTGTGGGAAAATTAGAAACTAGGTATGAAAGGAGGAGACCCTCTAGACAGGCATAACTGCTATAGACATTTTGATTTATACTTTTCTGGATTTGCTGTATGGTATTATTTTCACGTTTATGTCTATGTGATAGAAAAGAAAGATACTGAAATATAAGTTTAGCATCACTTTATTGATTAGCAGGATTTTGTGTCAGTTCATTGGTTTATTTAATGATTGTACTTTATTGTACAGTTTACGTAGCAGACCACAATTTCTAGTGATCTAGTGAAAGTGTCAGGTTCTTATACTTTCCAGGGAATCCTTGTGCATTACATTTGATAAATCTTTTGGTGAAAACTTTGTCAAAATGATAGAATTCTCATTGGAGGTAATTATTCATGAATCTCTTACTATCAGAGTTAGAATTTAAGTTTATAGTCAGAACTGGTTTCTGGTGAAATGGTTACTGATCTGCAACATACGGGAAAAGGATAGTGTAATCAGTTTGTCACAGAGCTGAGACTGTTCAGCTGGATGTCATTAAAGAGTCCTCTTTTCTTCCTTCCCAAGTTATACCGTTTGTATAATGCCTCTGCTTGAACCTCATAGACATGAGGTTAACTAATATCCTGAATTTGATTGCCATTTCTGGGATACCCACGATACTTGACATGTTTAATCTCAGATTTTTTTTAATAAAAGCATTAAGAAGTTAGCCAGATGTGGTGGCTCACACCTAAATCACAGCATTTGGCAAATGGAGTCAGAAGAACCAGGAATTTAGACTCACCTTTGACTACATAGCAAGTTTGAGGACAGCCTAGCCTATAACAGACCCTCTTAAGAGCAACAAAATATAAAAGTCTATGAATTTTATACTGGCTAAGTGATGTGTCTGCTTTTTCACCTCTTAACTTTGTACTATCTTTGTTAATTCTGTGCAGTTCTGGCTCTGAAAGAAACTGAGAGGTCAAAAATAGAGATAAGCTGGGGGGGGGGTGGTTCATGCTGCAGTCCAATTTCTCAGGAGGCCAGGGCAGGAAGACGGAAAGTCTGACTTAGACAACATAGTGAGACTGTCTCAAAATGGAGAAAGGAAAGAGGGCCTAGATGTTGCATAGGTTAGAGCACTTGCAGAACATGCAAGGTCCTAGGTTTAATCCCCAGTACTAGGGGAGGTGTATTGTTGCTTACTACCTACTTATGTGCAAATAGAGACTCCTCATCAGAATATTCCCTACAGGTTTCCTATATTACCCCAACCACAAAACCTTTTATTTGCTGTCCATATGGAATCGTTAGTTGTACTTTGTATCATATACAGAAGTTAGTCTAAGGTGACCTTGGTGAGTACTTCAAGATATGTGGTCCTGGAGATGCTATAGCTGCTAATATTCCAATAAAACTTAAAACCTATCCTTCTTATGTGAATTCAGAGTTAGTTTAATGTGACCTTGGTAAGTTACACATCTGAAATCTGATCTTAGAAAAGATCTAAGAATATAAATGATAATTCAATCTAAAGCCAATGGCAAATCTAGCCTGAGTCTATGGGAAGTTCTAGAATTTTATTCTGTGACTTCATATTAAATCACAACGTTTTGGCATTAGTGAATGGTAAACATTTCTAGTCCTAAGAATTGTGAACCCTTACTCTTAGTTTTATAAGATATTTAAGAACTTTCATCTGTCCTGAAATTTTTTTTTTTTTGAAGTTGGCCTCATGTGTTACCTTTTCTCATTGCTATAATGAAGTAGTTGACAAAAGCAACTCAAAATAGGAGAGAGTTGTTTGGCTCACAGTTTGAGCGCTCAGTCCATTGGGACAGCAAGGATACAGTGACAGGAAATTGAACAACTGTCTGCATCCTCTGATAGGACTAGGGGAGTGAGTAGACAGTACTGGGGCCGCCCTTGTAGACATTCTCAGGGCGTGTTTCCATGGTGGCTCTAGATCCATTCAGGTAGACAGGGAAGGTTGCTAACAAGGTGATGGAAATTTCTCTCTCTGGAGTTCTAATTGAAAGTCTCTAGGCTGTTTGAGTCCTTGGATTGCCTGCTGCATTGCTGTCAGAGCAGGGGTTGTTTTCCAATGCCAGTGAGTTCTCCTGTAGCCACTGAAGACTGTAATCCAGTATGTCTAGTGGCTGTGTCTCACTTTGTACCTTTAGCAGTGGGTTTGTCGTTCACTCACGCTGGCTTGTTCTGTGATTCTGCTGGGCAAGCGCTGTACCACTGTGCCAGGCCTTAAGCCTCAGCTATCTCTTCTGGTCCTCAGACAGAGACTTGATAAGTAATAATAATAGTAATAGTACCATGTAACTATTGAACCTACGTCCTATTATTATTAAGGAGAAAATACTTAACATATGTTTTCATTTTTAAATTGTTAACTTCAGAATTGGCAAATTTTAAAAAGTTAGTGTGTGTTAGCTTCCTTTACTATATTCCCACCGAGGTTCCAGCACTATCTCTCAGTTTACTCTTGAGATTAGTAGTCAGGGTTCTTTTTGTTTATTTTTATGAAGAAAACAAAACCCAGTGAGTCGCAAACAAACAAGATAAAAAAGTAAGAGGGAGAGTAATTGGGAAGAAAAAAGGGGTCAAAAGGAGTGCAGAGGGGAGGAAGGACAGGATGGGAGTGTGAGAAGGCAGGGCAGAGGTGACTGATCAAGTACGTTCTATAAATGTATGAAATTGTTAAAGAACAAACAAGAAGCCGGGCGGTGGTGGCGCACGCCTTTAATCCCAGCACTCGGGAGGCAGAGGCAGGCGGATCTCTGTGAGTTCGAGACCAGCCTGGTCTACAAGAGCTAGTTCCAGGACAGGCTCCAAAACCACAGAGAAACCCTGTCTCGAAAAACCAAAAAAAAAAAAAAAGAACAAACAAGAAAAGGTGAGATGCAATTGAGACATCTGAAGTCAACCTCTGACCTCTTTGTTAGCAAATCTCTCTTTTTTTCTCTCTCTCCCTCCCCTTTTCTTTCTTACCTCCCTCTTACTCTC